ATGTAACAGGGCCATTGATAGTGATCGTGCAAGAAAACTTTGCAGACTGTTTTGAAAAGTAGAAGGGACACTTGTTTATAAGGTCCCCAAAAAAAGACTAAGGTGCCATTGCCTTAGGTAGGCTATTTTTTGATATTATTAAATGATTGGGACATTTATTGACAGACCTCATATACTGGCTGCTGTTTGGTTTGCCCTTCTTCATGTCTATATTGAGATCTTCATGAACCTTTGACTAGAAATATTTTTTTCTTTTTCTTCTTACAACTTAGACAACAAAAAACTCAGAAAGGCAAAAATTTATTTTGATACTATTTTTTGGTTTTATTTTATATTTTATTTTCCTTTTTTGATATTTTTTATTATTCTACTTTTTTGTGTCATTTTTATGTTATTTTGTATTTGATTTTAGATATTTTATTTTATATTTAATTTTTATTTCTTATATTTTCTTTTACTTTTTTTTGATATTTATTTTATATCTGATTTTACATCATATTTTATATTTTTTATTATTTTATTTTTTTGTGTCATTTTACGTTATTTTGTATTTGATTTTAGATATTTTATTTTATATTTTTTTTATTTTTTATTTCTTATATTTTCTTTTACTTTATTTTTTTATATTTATTTTATATTTGATTTTACATCATATTTTATATTTATTTCTTGCATTATTTTTTATTTTCCTTGGTATAAGTTTTTGTCATTTTTATTTTATATTTGATTTTACATATTTTATTTCTTATATTTTTTTTTATTTTAGTTTATATTTATTTTTATTTTTATACTTTACTTTTTTTGTTATATACCATATTTTCTGGCTTACAAGAAACAGTTTTTTTCCCTAAAAAATATGTGTGCATCTTCCAAAATGAATGTAAGGTAACGCCCAGGCTCAAGTAAGCTTGGACAGTCTCCTAATTGGCTTGACTGATAGGGATGTGGATTTTTATGTTGTGTCATTACACCATAATGTTAGCTATCTAATTCAGCCTTTTATATGATATAACCTCAGTACTTACAGGTATTTTCAAGACTATAAACCTTCCTGGAACTGAGCCACAACGTTAAATATGCTCTGTTTACTGGTAGCAGTGGTGGGAGCCTTTCTGCTCTTGACTAGTATGTCATTGCCATATAAACAAAATCGGATGAGTGATTAATGTAAACAATACATGGTGCCAGTATGTAAAGGACGCATGGTGAATGTGTTGTTGTATGAGAATGACTTTTTTTTTTTTTTTAGAAATTTATTTCTAATATTATGGTACATCTTCCAAGCTGCAGTGTCTTGTAAGCAGGAAAATATGTTATATGTTTTTGTATCATTTTTATTTTATATTTGATTTTACATATTTTATTTCTCACATTTATTTTCTTTTTCTGATATTTTTTTTTATTTTATTTTATATTTGTTTTTATATTTTATTTTTTTTTTATTCTATTTTATTTCTGATTTTACATCATATTTTATGATATTTTTTATTTTATATTTTATTTATCATTTTTATGTTTATTTATTGTTATTTTTTGTTTCATTTCTATACTTCATTTTTATTTGTTAGGCCATACAAGACTAAAAAAAAAAGAAACTCAAAAAAGCTTGTTAACCATTACACTGGGTCAAGAATAATCATGGTAACAAATATTACAGTCAATATAGTAAATAATAATGACAGATCCCATTAAGTTTCTTTTCTTAATTCATTTACAAACTAATTTGCCTTACACAGGTTCGGAGAAAACACATTGATTGAATATAATATCTTATCAGAAATGATGTAATTTGTACCTCAAATTTTAGTCATATTCACAATTAATTTCTGATTTGTGTACTTTTTAATTAAAAATACAAGTACATATAAGAAGATACAATAAAAATGCTACGAATTAATGTTTATTAATCTGATTTTTTATGAAAAATTTTAGAGTGGTTTGCTGTAAGGCATTCTTCTGTTCATCATATAAATGGCAGTACTGAGAAATTTCCCCTTCAAATTTTCCAAACATATCAATCATTAGTATTTTAACCTCAAAATTTTATTTATAATCTATCCATAGTAAATGCATACATATTTTATATTTCAATATTTCTTAATAAAGATAAATTTCTGTATCTAATTAAATTTGTCCATTTTTTTAACAAAAAAATCAGAAATTCCTTTTTAAGATCTTCAAAATAAACATGAAAAAAAATCAAAATATTCAAAAAGTTTTAATAAAGACAAACTTTCAAATATGTATTTTTATTATCGGTTTATATTATAAAATGTATCTATTTATAACTGTCCATTTTTTTTAACACTACTGTAATTACTTAGATAACGTAATACTTGACAAACAAAATAGTTACTTATTTTCCACTTTTAAATTTTAGAAAATTTTTAATTAATCAGTAACTATAAAAAAATCAATTTTCAATATGGTTAAACTGAAGAATGTTTTACTGCACTAGTACTTGAGTATTATGCATGCACTAATTGAATTTTGATATAATTTACTGCACTAATCGAAAACGGATTAATTGCATGCATATTGGCTTGAGGGATTCCTGTATCTGTTATTCATGTGCAAAAGTTTCCAGCAATTTTTTTTATGTATAATACTAAAAGTAGAATTAGTGAGCCAAGTTCAAATTCCATTTTCCCACTAATGCCCATGGGTAAAGGTATGAATCCATCTCTTCCATCCCCCAGCTAAGGGTTAAATGGCAGGGTAGACCGAGCTTGGGTGGCAACCAGTCTAAGAGAAGACCTCTGAAACCTTTTGAACTAGGAAGAAAGCAATGGAAAAACTACTCCACTATCTTTCTCAAAAAGGGACGGGAAATTTAAATTCACAGGATAAAGAAAAAGGAATTTGCATATAGCCTTCACCGTTTACATTACTTACTGAATGGATATGTGTTGTACAGTAGGACTCAGGGTACTTCCTGCTCTTCCCTACTAATGTGACAATGGACTCCTCCAACTTATAAATATGGCAACTAACCACATTAAAGTAGTATTTGATTTACTCAAGGTTTTCTGTTCTTTGTATGAGTATTTAATAAACTTCTTAACATTTTTTTTCCTCTATCTAGACTTCTGTTCCTTTGATACTGTCTGACTATGGCCTTCCTAATTGTCAGCTATTTTGAACATTTGACAATATTACAACAGCGGAGGATTTGAGTAGTATTTGATTTACTCAAGTTTTTCCGTTATATATATGAATATTTAATAAACCACTTCTTTGTTTCCCCTACCTAGTCTTCTGTTCCTTTGATACTCTAACTACAGCCTTTCTAATTCTCAGCTATTTTGAACATTTGACAATATTACAACAGCAGAGGATTTGAGTCCGTTATATATATATATATATATATATATATATATATATATATATATGAATATTTAATAAACCTCTTCTTTGTTTCCCCTACCTAGTCTTCTGTTCCTTTGATACTCTAACTACGACCTTTCTAATTCTCAGCTATTTTGAACAAAGACAACATTACAGTAATATGACATTTAGGGAAAAGAAAAATCTTATTGTGGATTCAGTTTCAAGATCCCCCCCCATCCACCAAATATTTAGAAATTTTTTTTCACGGACATGATTCGTCTATTAAACTATTTGTGAGGGAAATGCAGTTGTTATAGTGATTACTTTCAAGCTCAAGATATAAGAACCAGTGACTTTTATTGATTGATTTACTTCTTTTTTTTTTTTACAGGTTATCAACCCATTACAGGTTATTTAAAGACATAAAATATTTTGTATATGAACATTAAAAGCTAGTAGCCTTACGATGAAAAAAAAAAGGTTTTTATTTTACACATCAAGTATTTCTTTTTCAAAATAAACTCCTTGTAACTAGAAAACTGGAAGACTGTCCTCGCAAAGCACCTCTCTTGACTTTCAACCGAGATATGTCCAGGGTTCAGTTATGCAAATACAAAATTATGAACTGCAACTTTACAAATTATTACATCACTGGGTAATAAAGTCAAAGAAACATGAATTTAAAATTGAAATTTTAGTAATTTTTTCTCTGACAAGAAAATTTAGGCAGCTCAAAAAAAAAATTGGTTTGTACTTTACCCGGATAAATGATGCTTTACTCAGCAAGTCTGATGACCCTGATTCAAAATCTGAACTCAGAATTGTCCTATAATTTGGAAACATCTGCATAGCATATTTAATATCTTCCTATTTCGTATTCAGTTTCAAGTACCCCAACCAAAAATGCTGAAATTTTTTTACAGATACTGGATACGTCTATTAAAATGTTTGTGTGGGAAATGCTATTGTTATGATGGTTACTTTAAAGCTTAAAATATAAGAAGAACCAGTGATTTTTATTGATTGATTATTTTTTATGGCTTATCAACCCTTTATCAATCTTTGGCCTTTTTTTAAATTAATTTAAAATTGAAATTTTAGTAAGTTTTAATATTTTTTCTCTATGACAGGAAAATTTAGGTAGCCAAAAAAAAAAAAAAAAACCTTTCAGTACACTACCCAGACAAATGATAATTTACTTGGTCAAATCAGTTTGGAAACATCTGTGTAGCATATTTAATATCTTCCTATTTTGTTTCAGTTTCAAGTACCCTAACCAAAAAATGCTGAAAATTTTTTACAGATACGTATATTAAAATGTTTGTGAGAGAGATGTCGTTATTATGATGGTTACTTGAAAGCTTAAAATATAAGAAATCGTAACATTTATTTATTCATTGGTTTGTGTTTTTACAGTTTACCAACTGCTTACAGGTTATGTAAAGCCAGAAAATATTTTTAAACTGTAAGAATTGTTTTGGAGATAATAATGATTTACTGTTTTACTAATTAACCCACAGATAGGGGGAGAAGTGAATTCATACCTTTCCTAAGGGTATTTGTGTGAATATAATGAACTCAACTGAAAAAAGAACTTTTAAAAATTCTGGAATGAAACTGGAATGATTAAAAATTCCGAGCCAATCCATTACATCACTTGCACATCCAAG